CGCCACGAGGTCTCGCCTTTGCTTAACCCACGCCGGGCACTCTGCCAGCGTGATGAGAGCCGTGTCCACGGTCTGGCCATCGCAGTGGTGGCACTCAGGCGTTGGCTCCTTGCGGATCAGACACAGGTGATCCCCGAAACATCCTATCCCAGTGATCACCTGCGTCAGTCGGTATGAGAGGGTCCCCGGACGACTCTCGAGGCAATCCTCCATAATGGGTCTTACCGACCCGAGCTCAAGACACCTAGAATTAAAACAGAATTTACATAGTGAGCCATCTCAAATACGAATATGTACAGAGGATACTGCTAAAAGTAAAATTTGCATTATAAGTAGTAATTGTATGTGACTTACGTGGGATAGGTGGATGGCTGTATAGATCTTGCTCTTGGAGTCTATAGGGGCTGGTTCAACAGCGTCACGTACAACACACTTTGCGATGAGAGTGTTTTTAATGAGAATCACACGCGCACTTATGGTTGTTTTCTTTATTAACGTGGCGCCGGCGTAGGATTCGCGGTGTTTAGAGCGGGTGGGAGTAACGGAGTGACGTGTGACTTGAGAGCGAGGAGACGACTTGACGAGTAAGAGACGACGACCAACTTCCGCGTCTTGAGAATAGCGTCAGACTACTGGTTCATTTCAAAATGGTTCTAGGATATGCGGAGCGGGGAAAGGGGGGAAGGAATAAAGGGTGTGTGTTTGATGCGTTCAGAAACGTGTAATGAGTGATTGAGTAATATTTAAATATAAAATAATAGAATAAATACGTGAGTAATAATATGGCGTAAACGGCGTTTACAGTAATAAATATAATAAAATTACACCAATTGCACAAAATGCATTTCGAGATACTCGTGATACGTTTTGTCATTATTTATTGAAACACTACAAGACAGAAAAAATGCTACATCGAATAGAGACTAAACTATGGGGTTTCACAATGAATGATTTTTGTATTTTACTTGTTGGGGAAGAAGATTTTAATACAGCACGTAATTACTTGAAGGCTGTTGATGATGATGATGATGATGAATTACTTGAATCTAGTTTTTAATATTTGAAATACTCTGAAAAGAATTAAGCACACTAATATTATAATTTGTTCTCCAACCTATAAATTTGGATATTACCATAAGACTAACTCTAGAATAGAAAATTTTAATAATTTATTGTATCTAGATATATTAGCTCATGAGCATGCTTATTTCCTTGACTCAAATAAAAATCTTTCTTGTGACTTTAAAATGTTTAACAAGCACACAGGAAGTCTTAACAACTGTGGCATGCATGTTATATTTAAGGTCATTATTAATTTTATATGTGACATAAAACACTAACAGTATGATTTTAACAATAGTGACATATTTTATAGTGATGATATTAATTCTTCACATGACATAGGTACTAATGAACTTTTTCGTTGATACATATGTTAATATAATGCATCAAAATATTGCAGGTTTAATCACTAAATCAAATGCACTTACATTACATTTAGATGAACTGTCGAATAAAAATTTAGACATTGACATAATATGTATTACGGAACATTTTATATTGGAGGGTCATGAGCGATATCTTTCAATACCGGGTTTCACTCTGGCAACCAGTTTTTGTCGGAATGATAAAAAGCGGGGTGGTGCCTGCATTCTAATTAAAAACAAGTATCGATGGAAATAATTACTTGAAATTCTGAATTTATCTACAAGTCATGCAATATAATGTTGTGCGATTGAACTTGTTGATTACAAAATTATTATGTCTGATCATACAGCGCAGATGTTACAATGCCCAGTGGATCGGGTTTACGGTGCGGATTGGTGGTGTGAGTTTAAACGAGACTATTGTGAGGAAAATATAGTAATATTCACTAAATATCTAAATCAAAAATTTTAATGAGGTATACACTATTAGCGATGTACAATAAATTTTTTGATAATTTTACACTAATATATGATTTATGTTTTCCGACAAAGAAAATAAAACGATTCTGCAAAATACGGCCAAAATGGATTTCAAAGGGAATCAAAATATACAGTAAGCGTAAAAGGGCTCTTTTGTGGCAATATAGAAAGAGGCGGACGTTAGCTAATAAAATATTGTACCAAAGATATGCAAAAAGACTAAAATGTAAAATAAAGTTAACTCAAAAAGCACAGAATATACATGCCATTAAAACTTCAGAGTCTAGAACAACATGGAGAATAATTAATGAACATAAATATAGTCACCCAGTACATTATATAGCTAATATTAAGTATAAAGGCAAAATAATATGTGACCCAAAAGACATAGCAAGGCAGTTTAATAATTTTTTTATAGATCAAATCAGGTCAGGTACGAACCATGAAGCACCCAAATGTAAGTTTCCATCATATAATGGGAACTCTTTATTTATGCTACCTACTACGCCTGATGACATTTTGAAAATAATTTCGTCATTCAAAATGACACGTAGTGTAGGGTACGATGGTGTTGATACTTACATTGTGAAAAGAGTGTGTCATATAATCGCTCCCCTATTGTCGCATATAATTGACTCGCAAAGACTGCACGGATGGCGTAGTGGTTTAAGCGGTCGCCACGCCGCTTCCTACTACGCTGAGTGTTGTGGGTTCAAACCCCACATGGGACGACACTTTGTGTGATCCACAAATTGTTGTTCTGAGTCTGGGTGTTCTTTGTGTCCGTTTCATGTATGTTTGTAAAGTCCCCCGCGACACAGGATTTATTCCTAATGCGGGAGTTGTCTTTTTAAAAAAAAATGAAAAAAAAATGAAAAATGAAAAAAATTAACCTCTCAATAGAAACGGGTATATTTCCAACATGTCTTAAATTACCAATTATTAAACCGCTATATAAAAAGGGTGACAAAGACAATAAGTTATTTACAATAGCCTTTACAATTATTTTGAAAGTCATGAACTATTTGGGAAAGAGCAAATGGGATTCAGGAAAAATAAATCAATAAATATGGCATTATATTATTTTTGTAATAAAGTTTTAACGAACATGGATAAGAGATGCCCTACTATTGCTCTCTTTATGGATATGACCAAAGCATTCGATCATGTAAAATCTGACATACTGTTAGAGAAATTATATCGTTATGGTGTGCGAGGCAATGCTCTCGAATTAATTAAATCATATTTATATAGATACAGACAACAAAGGACTGACATAAGCAAGATATGCAATAAAACAAAAACTTTGACGAATTATTAATCTAGTCTGCGACATATCATATGTGGTGTACCTCAAGGCAGTGTTTTGGGGCCATTGTTATTTTTAGTTTACATTAATGACATTCCAACAGTTACGACTAACTCTTTGCCTCTTTTCGCCGATGACAGTACTATACTTTTTGAAAAATACAAAATAAATGACATTCTTGACAATATTAATCAGACATTAGAAAATACAATTAACTGGCTAATGAGTAATAATTTAATAATCAATCTCGATGAAACCAAATCTATATATTTTAGGCATAGGCAATCACCACAAAAAATAAATATCAAATGAGCAAGTAATAGAAGAGGTACAGAGCACGAAATTTCATTAAAGTTGTCGACGTTTATACTGTCTTAACATCGTACCATGGGTATGCATTGTCAACTCTTCGCTACGGTGTTATACTGTGGGGTAACTCCACCAATGCAGACTGTGTGTTCAGAGCACAAAAACGGTGTATTAGAGCTATTTCCTGTCTTAAGCAAACAGATCCATGATAACCTTTATTTAGACAGCTAAATATTCTAACTTTACCTTGTTTATATGTATACGAAACAGCTATATTTATGAAGTGTAAGTTACATTTATTTGAACACCGTACAAGGCAACGTCATATTAAAAATTATGCATTAGACCATCTAAAACTGCACTACTTCATATAAGTATATTCTGCATGGGCCCAAAAATATATAATAAGATACCATCAGATTTGAAAAATGAAAATAACTTAATTTTATTTAAGAAAAAGTTACATGCTATTCTAGTTGGTAAAACTTATTCGGTAAAAGAATACAGGGAAGATAATATGTAGAATGATGTAAATAATGCACTACTTACATCTTCCTTTGACATACATCAGTACAGAAATTTTGACGTATTAATTTGACATATTATAGTTTGTATTTATTATTATTTGTTTATTTTGCATTATTTAACTTTAGAACTGTATTATTATTTAGAACAATGACACTACTTACTTCTTCATCCTCCTCGGCTCGGTTCGATAAGCTGCATTCAAAACGCTCCATGAAACAAAAAGTATTTAAGTGGTTTAAAGTTAAATTGAAGTGCCGTACAAGTGTAAAACCATAAGTAAAATTGTCTACTTACATTTGAGCGACTGAATTAGTGCATAAGACAAGTGATTTAGACTAGAAATAGGCTAAACTATTTGGCGAGCTTTGAAACTTATATTAACACACCCTACGGAACAATCAAATCGGACCTCTCGGCAAGAACGCGTAAGCGACGCCGTTTACCGCGGACTTAAGACCTTTCGGACGCGAGGATTGTCTGTGAGTGCTCTGGGCATCTGTTACGGTGCTCCTTATAATAAATTAATATAAACTATTAAGGCGTCTTCTCACTTTAGGCACCTCGAAAATAGGCTATTTTCGCGATTTTTTTTCGAGGATTTTTACATAATTATGGGATAAAATGGATCCTATGTAATAAACACATCTTTCAAGTACAAGAAAAAATTTTTTTTTTTTTTTGAACAATTATTACAATAAAACAGTAGCATCGAAAAACCCGTGTAGAAATGTCATGTTCGTGGTTTGTTGATGGTATCTCCTGAAAATTTCAGAAATCTGATGATATGCGCTATAGCCATGACTATGAAGAATATGTCATTCGAATTGCATGACAATCGGCCGGATAGTTTCCGAAATTTCATCAACAAGGCACTGAAAAACCTTGTTTTGAGATTTGTTTGGTGAAGTTTTGGTTGCAGAAAAATCATAAAAAAACCTTACCTCGGGTTAATCAGCGATGCCTGCTCCATACAATGAACCTTCCGATTCTTCGTAGAAGTTGTGCTCGTTCAAAAAAGCTTCCCTTCGTCTCGACCTAGTTTCTTTTGAAGCGTTAGAGCTGCGGCGGTTCCATGTCCCAGTTTCATGAGCCCACAAAACGTATTGATACCACTCAATCCAACACCAATCAAACGCATAACGTACACTAAACGACGATTGATTTCGTACCCAGTTGAGATCATGAGGGCATGAGTTAATATATTTTTCTTCGCAATCACAAGTTACACAAATTTTGAAACCGAGTCCTCGCTGACCGTACTTTGTAAAGGAAACATCTTTATTACAAACTTTACACTTCAAATATTGTTGTAATGCAGAAAAAACAAGAAAAAACTGAATAACACTATATCCAGCCGTTGGATCGATGTGTACATCGAAACTTGTATCGTCCGATGTTTTTAATTTTGCTGCACTCGCACTAGCATAACTCGTATCTGCCTCAGACTGGTGTGGAAGCACTCCATGAAATTTTCGTTTCTTAGATTTCGAACTTGGGCGTCGCCACGTAGCACTTAGTTGCGAACACTTTTTGTCCATCATAACAATCCTGAGCGCAGAGATGTTGCCGTTAAGTTTCAAATTATACTGATAAAATAACAGTTTAGCATCGTTGCCGAGTGATTTTCCTTTGAAAAATGCACGTGTTAAGGTCTTATTAGATGAGTATAGACCCCAAAACAGAATATACCTAAGCAAGGGGTACTACATTAACAAAAGAACACGACTATTCAATTGTATAGAGTCAGGTATACAGGGACCGTCCGAGCGGCGTCAAAGGGATCAGCCGGGTGCTCTCAGATAGTCACCTAACGGTCGCCCAATGTAGTTAGACTCGTCCGATCTTTATGAAATTTTGATATAACATTTTTGATGATATGTACTTTCAAAATTAAAAAAAGAAAAGAATCGTTTTTTTTTAATTTTCAAAGTGAGAAGACGCCTTAAAACTGGGCCTTTGTTGGTGTCCGTTGTATTTTTCAATAGATAGATAGTGTAATAAGAGTACAGAATAGAACCACTTGAAAACAACAAAATGAAATGTTTAGGTTGTTTGAAACCATCTAAAGATATAAATAGCATAAAATTTTGCGGCGCTACCTGCGACAAACAATTCTGCTCAATGTGTATAAACATAGCTACAATTTCAAATGAGAAGAAAAAAACTGGAGATGCCCCGACTGCTGTGCCATGAAAAAAAAGGTGGTGATAACAGCTTAACTCCTGTTCGGCCGGCTGATGAGAACATTACATTGAGGAAAAAGCATGATGAATCGCCCGAGGACAATCCACATGCCGAGGTTAAGGAGCTCACAGAAGAAGTTCGTCTTCTTACGCGAGAAATAACTTCACTAAAGGAGCGCCTAGAAAGTGCCACATCATCTATATCATGCTGTCAGGCAAGACTAGAGGAATTAACGACTTCAATAGCCACCAATGACTTTAGAATAAAGAGTCTGGAAAATCGAGATAAGGAGGTTAAGTTACTTGAAAACAAGGTATTGGAACAGCAACAAGAAATAAATACCCAATCGCAACAACAACTGTGCAACGAATTAGAGCTGGCGGGTATCCCCGAATCAAACAACGAAAACCTGCACCACATTGCACTACTAGCTGCGAAAAAGGTAGGACCTGGCTGATGACGACATTGACTGGGTGTCAAGAGCTGGACCTCATATTTAGCGTGCTGTTAATCCCAATAGCGATGTAAATAGTTCTAGACCTATTGTAGTGCGTTTTCTACGTCGCAGTAAGCGAGATCAACTAATAAAGGCCTCGAAAACAAGACGAAATGTCACGAGCAGCGATGTGGACGTACCAGGAAAATCATATAAAATCTACTACAATGAACGCCTGACGAAAGAAAATAGATTGCTTTTTCGAACTGCGCGTTAAAAAGCAAAGGAATATCAATATGCCTACTGCTGGGTCACTCGTGGTAAAATATTTCTCAAACAGAAAGAAGGGAAAGCTGCACTGCACGTGCGTACATTTAATGTACCTTACTCGCATATTATATTAATATTTTGTATTTTGTACCCCCTAAAACTGAAATAAACTTAGCACAGTCCTCAACTGTGTTTATACCACATTTTAATAATAATTCTATAACTTTTAATTTTTTTACCTTGTATTTTATAAATATGGTTAATTTTACTCTAAACCTGAGTCTAGATATTATACTGTTTATTATATCAACTGAATCGAAACTATATTTCAACAATTATTACACATGCAGGATTGGCTATGTACCTGACTACACTAACACAAAGAACAATGGCAGAAATATATTTACCTAAAACTGAAGCGTTTAAAAAATTGGCTAACAGTAACCTTACTAAATATTTTTTCAATGATTTATCATTATACCGCCATGTGTTGTATAAGTCTAATAAGAGATTGAATATTTTTAAAGATTTTATTTGACCTAAGTACGTAATGTCAGAATCGCCATCACGAACTGACTAGGGATGCGTGATGATATTATTATATTATGGAACATTTTATCGATAATCGATTGTTATAACTTTGGCTTAAATATCTATCGAAGGTTCACCTATAATGATTATGAATTTGATTCTGCCCACGGGTTTACTCATACGCTACCGTAACTAGTACTGTAGTGACTAAATCAACCTAATTAGAAATAATTTAGAATATTTTGGACTCTTTTTAAAAGATTTTTGCTACACCAAAATGAATAGAATATAGTTACGTTATTTTCCTACAGAAAAATACTAAAACAATATACTGCTTAGTGTGATGAGAAAAAGACATTGTAGGTTGATAACGGCATAGAAATAGACATGCATCGATATTTTTAAAATGTCGATACGTCGTCGTCGCACTTACTATAACCCGGCAATCTCCGTCCGTCAACGCCGTGCGCGACCGTCCTGCGGGGTCCTGTGGCGGGGACGAGGTACTCACGATGTCTCACGATGTCTCACGGTGGTGTAGCGGTGTGTAGCCGTGTGCTAGAATGTCGCGCTACCTCGCCCCCGCCACTGTCTGTCACCCCGCGGGACGGTCGCGCACGACGTTGACGGACTATAGTCTTGTCGTTTGACACTTACACGCATGACTTACATACCATTTCTCACAAGGCAATTGTAGTTTATTTGGTTGTTTTACTTTTATTTAATATTAAACTCTTATATATGTTTATTTTAATTTTATATAGTGTTACTCCATTATGCATGATGTGATGCCTTAAAATGTTGTGCATTAATCTCAATATAATGGATGCATGCTTTAGATTTTAGTAAATAATGTCACAACTACTGACTGTTGAATAACTAAATAATTAAATAAATGCTCCCGCCTTGTGTAAATGTGTATTGAAGTACATTTATTCAAATTATTATTAATAATTTATGTATTTATGACTAGTATTACACCTGCTATGTAAGCGAAGATTTTTTCTATTGTTTACCAATACATGCTAAGCAAATACCCTTCCTTCCTTCACCCATTTAGAGAGTCGGCTAACACTTTCTACAGCAAAATAGGGTTGCTTATGAGTAATAATAATGATGAATAATATTTTCGAATATATGACACACAACGCCATCTAGTTTCGAACAATACATTTACAATATTTTAGTACTTAACCTCGAAACATTCAAAATCCAAAATCTTTTTTCCTAGACTTCTTTTGCTAGTATTTTTTTTATGAGAATGTTCAAGAATAAATTCTCAAGGGTTAAAGGTATTTTTGATATTTAAACGCTGTCAATTCACTTCAAATAAAATTATGTATGGGGACCTGCCATTCTCCTTTACACACATTATATTATTGATATTGTATATAGTTCTCACGTTACAGAAGCGACAACGAGCAATGCCGACGACAGTGATAATGAAAATTACGACAATGTATATAGGGACGAGTCAGAAGAAGAAACAGATGATTCAGGGAATAAATCTATTTTAGAAATTAATTCAACATTAATTTCTGTGTAAAAGGTAGCTGTTTAATTATTTTTTTTCTAATAAATGAAAAAGTAAATAAAAAAAGCGGCCAAGTGCCGGAAGAGTCGGACTCGCCCATGAGGGGTTCCGTAGCAGCAACTAACATAATATAAAAGTTCTTGAACCTGCCCGATCAAGCCACGCCCCGCGCGAATTATAATTATTATTTACTTAGGCACCTATTACAGATTTATTATTAGAAAATAATGGTTCACGGTTTATGCGTAAGGTTTATGTTTATGAAATTAAATGTTTTTTTTTTTTAATATTTGAGTTGATTGAATGAAAGGTAAATTGCGGTTTACGATTTATGACGTATTAAAAAAAACTACTTACTAGATGTCGTTCAAACCAATTTTCGGTGGAAGTTTGCATGGTAATGTACATCATATATTTTTTTAGTTTTATCATTCTCTTATTTTAGAAGTTACAGGGGGGGGGGGCACATTTTACCACTTTGGAAGTGTCTCTCGCGCAAACTATTCAGTTTAGAAAAAAAATATATTAGAAACCTCAATATCATTTTTGAAGACCTATCCACAGATATGGGTTTGATGAAAAAAAATTTTTGAGTTTCATTTCTAAGTATGGGTAACCCCCAAAATTTATTATTTTTTTTCTTTTTTTGTGCGAAAATCTTAATGCGGTTCACAGAATACATCTACTTACCAAGTTTCAATAGTATAGTTCTCATAGTTTCGGAAAAAAGTGGCTGTAACATACGGACGGATAGACAGACAGACATGACGAATCTACAAGGGTTCCGTTTTTTGCTATTTGGCTACGAAACCCTAAAAAGCGGTGTATTAACTAAATTCCCGCTAATAAAAAATAGGCAAAACATTTATTAACGCAGAAAATACTTATGTAACTGAAATTACAATTGGCGATGGACACATTTATATGTTATTCAATTTAAAAGCACAATTTAGCTAAATAATCCTTATCTATTACTTTCCCTACTGTTCAATGATAATAAACATGAAATTTGTCGGACAAGCTGCTTTGTTTCTGTAGGATACTTTTTCTATTCAATGTAAAATGTATTTTCTCACATATGCTGTAAGTGGCGGACAAGAGGTAATAAATAAAATAACTACCCGAAAATCTACATGTTCACCGCGTCGGACTCGGTATATACTTTATGTTTGTGCGTGTGCGTGGTGTGCGTGCGTGTATATGCGTGAGTGTATGTGTATGTCATTATTATAGTTTATAGTTCCAATATCCAAAAAAATTATGTTACCCAGGATTTTTTAACAAGTTTATAGGAAGTAGAAAAATTAAAACAGAATTTGTCAATTTCTATTTTGGAGATAAAAACTGTTTTCTGAATTAGTGATGATTATTATGATAAGTGCACACATTTACACAACCTATGCTGCCCTTTTCCTAGTCTGAATCAGACAGTGGAATCACGCCTTCAATGGTATCACGACAGGGCCTTTTGCTTGTTGAGGGTCCGGGCTCAGGGCTGCTTCTGTAGTCGGTACTAGTAGCATCATCGTCATCAGAATCATCAACGGAAATAATAAATGTTTCTGTTACCAAGTCCACGACATGGTCACTCTTTGCATATTGCTCCTCTGTGTCCTTCACCTTTTTGCATAACTTTAGCCAGTCCCATGCACCTATCAGTAAAACTTTTTCTTGAATTAGTATTATACATTTAGTAACACTCCATTTCACATTTTTGCTGCCAACATATTGTTTGATATCGGACCAAGCCATTTCAATAGGATTGAGATCTGGGTGGTATGGCGGTAGTCTCAGTACTTGAGGACCTTATTCAGCTAGGATTCGGTCAATCGAAAATGTTTTGAATCTTTCCTTGTTTGCCTTTATTAAATTGTATAACTGAGGTTTCAGTAGTGTTTCTTCGTACTGTATGCCTTTTTCAGGGAGTCATGTCTGCATGTCAGCTTTCTTGGAATTAGAGGTAAGTGCGTGATCCCACTGCTTATTATGATACGACGCGTTGTCGACTACCACGACGGAATTGGGTGGTAGGTTGGGCATTAACTGAGTTCTGAGAAATTTTTCATAGTTCTCGAAATTCATGTTGTCGTGGTAGTCGCCTGATTTCGTACCAGCTTTAAAAGTCAGCAACGCATTGGGTATAAACCCAGTTTCAGAACCTGCGTGGACAATGACAACTCGCTGTCCTCTCGAAATAGGTTTTTTAAGGCCCTTAGTAGTACTATCGCTCCAGGCTTTTGGAGAAGAGTGCGATGAATCTACATAAGATTTGTCCGTATATACAATAGGCCTTCCCTCTTGGCGATATTGCTTTATTTTACGTAAATATTCGATACGTTGCAAACGAATATTTGAAGTCTCAAGCAGCACTTTCCGGTTATTTTGGGTATTTTTCCAACGAAATCCCAAACTCTTAATTATCCGCCTAAGACTTCGTTCTGACCTTTGAAATTTATGTTCTCCTCTAGCTTCTGTTTCAGCTTTCCGATTATCGGAAGTTCATTATTTGTCTTGTGAAAGTTATGAATGCACCTCTTTATTACTCCTTGATCGATGTTATCGATATTTGTTCTTGAAGGTTTTTTGCCAGGTGTTCTGAACACTGTGATTAAATCTGAACTATTAGCTTGAGTGATGATGTTCTTTACCTTCCTACTTGTTTTTGGATTTTCCCTAAATCACTGATGATATCCTTTAATTTCATATTTGCCCGCCCTAATAACTTCTGCAGTTTGTTTTATCTGGCTTAAATTTACAGTGCTGCTGTTCGAATGATTGAGTAAAATACTCGTAGCTTCGTCAATTTCACTTTTGATTTATTTTAAAGAATCAATTAATTTATCTGGTTCCCTTTTCAAAAAACAATGCACGTCATATACCTTTTTCCGTGCCTGTCTTTTCAAAACAGTATTTCTTCTAGGCATATTCACTGTTTAAAGTCACAAACAAAAAATAACTTAACAAAACAAACAAAATAACAATATAACTCAGAACGCGACTGTACTCTGGAAGCACGCGGCGTGTCGTATCGGTGCGGGGGACGTAATGCGACTGGAGAGCCAATCGGCGCTACGCACGCCCGCCCTTCGTCCCTCTTACCCCACAAGATACCTGATTTTTGACTTCTGCGCAGTAACTGTCACCGCTAGAGTTTCGTGCCGCTACTTATACAAGATGCATAATTTTTGTCGGACACTTATTTATTTTTATTTATTTAGTTTCTTACAATATCGTTACAGAATTTTTCCAATGCGATATTGTAGTTACGTTCATTAAATTTAGCTAAACTAAACTAAATTACAAACAAAACAAATTTTACTTAGTGCTGGTACCTGACGACTTGCAATACATGTACAAACGAGACGATTCACCAAGTATTCGGTTGTAGGTAATAAAAAAACATACCCACGAAAATCCGACAAGTAGCGCTAGTCGGACGCTGGAACCATTTCTCCACGCACTTACAATTTATCGTTATTATCTTGTAATTAGAATGAAAATTTGAATAAAGGTAATAAAAACCCATACTATAATTAAATTGATATGTTTGCAGGGCGGGGGAGTAAAAATGTTGCCCATTTCAGAGTTGGCACGTGAAAAACTTGTTCGTTTTTGTAATACGAATAGGTCGGCTAAGTTTTAGCGTTGGTAAAAATTTAAAAATAAAGGTGCTGGGCCCGAGGATTTAGTTAACACAAAAGAGACAACTGTTATATCACAGAAAAACCCTAGGATAAACAGTGAACGCAAAAAAAAAACTACTGCATAGTTAGATCTCCTAAGACATTACCATCCTAACGAAAAGAAATTGTATCTGTGTAATTGTAATAAATAGATTGCTGTTAAAAGGTTATTTTAAAGAGGTAAAAAGTAAAAAGTATCGGGAATATGTCAATAAAAAGACCCGCGTAAAAGAGGTCGTTCTAATTTTTTTACTGCATGTTGGTAGCACTGTACTGATTAAGCGCGCAAAATTTGAGCGGGATCTGTCATTTAATTTGTTTTAATCTACAGTTTTTGTTGGTGATAGTTTTGAGTCCTCGGCGATTTTTACAATGGAAAATATTGTTTAATACAAAGATTGTGCCTTAAATTTTGTGTTTCCAATGATATTTCTTGTGGTGAATCACTAAAAATGTTGCGAAATACCTACGGCGAATCGTGTATATCGAAAACAAGGGCTTATGAATGGTATAAGGCTTTTAAAGAAGGCCGAGAAGTAGTAGTAGACTTGCCTCGTCCTGGTAGACCTTCAACCGCTACGACCAAAGAAAACATCGACAGAATCAAGAAGCTAGTGCTCGAAAATCGATGTATGAGTCTGAGAGAGTTGGCTAGTGAGGTGAACATATCTTTTAAGTCCGTCCACAACATTCTCATTGACAATTTAGGCATGAAACGCGTCGCCGCTCGACTAGTTCATAAAGAGCTTAATTTTGTTCAAAAAGCGCAGCGAAAGCATGTCGCTGAAGACATGGTTTCCCGAGCTTCTACGGATCCGACCTTTATGAAACGTATAATAACTGGCGACGAGACATGGTTTATGAGTACGACATGCAAACAAGCTAACAGTCTTCAGAATGGCGTCTCGAAAACGAGCCGAAACCAAAAAAACCGCGGCAAAGTCGCTCCAAAATCAAGGTGATGCTAACAGTTTTTTTTTACTACCGTGGTGTGGTTCACTCCGAATTCCTTCCAGAGGGAGAAACAGTGAATAAAGAATATTATTTAGGCGTCATGAAGCGTTTGCGTGAGAGTATCCGCCGAAAACGTCCAGATTTGTGGACACAACTCATGGATGCTGCACACAGCCATTATAGTGAAAGAGTTTTTAGCGAAAAATTCAACAAAAGTTCTCGACCAAGCACCGTATTCACCTGATATGGCTCCGTCTGACTTTTTTTTATTTCCCAAGTTAAAATTAAGACTTCGAGGAAAACGTTTTGAGTCGATAGAAGCCATAAAAGAAAATTCGCTGAATGAGCTAAAGGCCATACCGCAAATAGCCTATGAAAAATGTATGGAAGACTGGGTGAAGCGGTGGAGATGTTGTATTGCAAGCGATGGGGCCTACTTTGAAGGCGATAAAATAAATTTAGATGAATAATTTGTATTTTTTGTTTTATTGACAAATTCCCTTAGTACACAGAATGTATAATTATCATTCATTCGATGTTTATTTCAAGGTCACTTTCAAGAAAGTTAAGTGTGTACGAGGGTGTCCAACCGCACTCCTTGGAAGTTGTTATCTTTATTAGATATTCAATTCCTAATGGATGTTGTCTTAGGTTTATTTTGTACAGTTTCATAACTCCATTAGAGTCGGTGACGAGGGTGTCCAACTGAACTCCTTGGATATTATTATCTTTATTAGATATTCAATTCTTAATGGAAGTTGTTTTAGGTTTATTTTGTACAGTTGCATAGCTCCATTAGAGTCGGTGACGAAGGTGTCCAACCGCACTCCTTGGATATTGTTATCGTTGTTAGATATTCAATTCTTAATGGAAGTTGTTTTAGGTTTATTTTGTACAGTTACATAGCTCCATTAGAGTCGGTGACGAAGGTGTCCAACCGCACTCCTTGGATATTGTTATCTTTGTTAGATATTCAATTCTTACTTAATGGTTGTTTAGTTTAAGGATTTATTTTGAAAAGTTTTGTGTGATTTTATTTGTAGAGCTTTGATATACTTTATGAGTCGGCGACCAGAGTGTCCATCCGCACTCTTAACATTTTGTTTATCAGATTAGGTTTGAGTAGTCAGTAAGTTTGGGTGGAGGATAGAGTCAGCGACAAGGTTGTCTAGCTACACTTTATGATTTTGATTGTGTATTTAGTTTTTATAGTCCTTCTTTTGCGTTTGGATTTTTGTATTCTTAGAGCCTGTAGAGTTTTCGTGAAGTTTTTGTAGAATCGATTTTGAAGTTTTGTAGAGTCAATTTTAGAGTTTTGTGGAGTCAATTTAGGAGTTTTGTAGGGACTTATGTAGAGTTTTTGTAGAGTCAATTTTAGAGTTTAGATGTTTTCAATTTTTTTTTTGTTTGTTGTAAATTCTGCTTGGGTATTGACTTTTCGGCATAAAAGAAAGAGTCCTTTCTTTTATTTTTTTTGGAAGGTATGTAATGTAACGTTGCATTTCTGCACCATTACAGAAAAGTTAACTATCGACGTGTTGTTATTTTGTAGGTTCCGAGAAGTAGGTCAGTAAGCTCCGAGAGATGGCGCTCTATTTTAATCGACTATTGTATTGATTCGGTCCATGGAATTATTTTCTCTGTGGAAGTATTGATTCGATTGTAGTTTTTTGCACTTCTTGCCCTGGCAACCCTTTATTGTCGCGTTTGCATCTTCCTGGGCGAAGCTGACCGGGGTAGACATGTTTGTGATTTTTGAAAGATGGAAATGAAATCCGTTTCCATTTGTTATAATCAGAGGGTTAATCACCTTTTATTGTTGACCGGTTTTGTTAAGAAATTGATTTTTTTTAAAGGAAGTGTTATTTTGCCTTTTTTGTGAGTTTTAATTCGACGGGGTCGGCACGTTTTTCGTACTTGGCTTAAGGAGACTAGAGTTCTAAATCTTTGATTATTTGGTTACAGGTATTATTAGTAATGCCTCCGATTTATTTGTAAGACGTTTTGGAACCCTGGTGAGTAAATTATTGTATCTTATAAAGCTTAGACTTCATCTTTGGAGCTAGGGAAATAACCTATAATTTTTGTTTGTTACAGTGCCGTAACAGGGTTTCT